TATTTTGTTATATTAATAGAAAACAGACTAAGGCACTACCAAAGTAATAACAGGGAGATATGCTATACTATCTCCCATTTATAAAGAAAAAAAATTCACTCTAGATTTCATGTTTCTTCTATTACTCATCTTTTCAAACTTCTCAAGTTGTCTATGTTTAGTTTCTACTTCCTCACTTTCCCTATTCCCCTCAAATTACTCCAACCATATCACATCACAGTCAAAATGAAATGTAAATCATGTAAGTGAACTAAATATTCAAATCAAAAGATAAAGGGTGGCTAAGTGAATTAAAAACCAAGGTGGAAACACATAATGTCTCAAAGAAACTCATTTTTGGTTCAAGGACCCATATAGGCTAAAAGGAAAAGGATGGGAAAAAGTTACTCCATGCAAATGGAAGCCCAAAGAAAGCAGGCACAGTTACACTTACATTAGACAAAATAAACTTTTAAGTGAAAAATCTCAAGACAAAGGTCATCATTATATAATAATAAAGTGGTCAATTTAAGAGGAAGATATAAAAACTATAAATATATATGTACCCAACACGAGAGCACCTAAGTGTATACAACAAATACTGACAGCTCTGAAAGGAGAAACTAACTGCAATACAATAATAATGGGAGAATGCAATAACCCATTTTCAATAACAGATGGAATATCCAGACACAAAACCTATAAAGAAGCACTGAACTTGAATGACCTAACAGACACATATAGAACTTTCTGTTCAACAGCAAAAGAATATGCATTCTTCTCCAACACACACATTCCGTGGGATAAAAGTGTTAATAAAATCAAGAAGATGAAAATCATATCAACTATCTTCCACAAAAGAATAAAACTAGATGTCAGTAAACTAAGAAAACAAGCAAACCAAAAAAATATAACAAATAGACAGAAACTAAGTAGCATACTCTTAAACAACCACTAGGTCAAAGGGAAAAATCAAGATATAAAGATATAAAAGTATCTTGAGATAAAAGAAAATGAAATATGCCAAAACAAAACTCATGACATGCCTGAAAAGCAGTACTAAGATGAAGTTTATAGCAATAAATGCCTACCTTAAAAAGATTTCAAACAACCTAGTATTAAGCTATAGGAACTAGGAAAATAACAAAACTGAGCCCAAACTCAGCAGAAGGAAGAAAATAATAAAAATCAGAGCAAATATAAATCCGATAACAGAAAAAAAAAAAAAATCAACAAAACTAAGAGTTGGTTTTTTGCAAACATAAGTAAAAACTGGCAAATCCTTAGATAAACTAAAGGTACAAAAAGAAAGAAAAGAACAAAATAAGTAAAATCAGAAATGTAAGAAGCAATAATACAAATATAAAATATCAAAAGGTGGGGCAGGGATTTAGCTCAGTGGTTCCAGCACCTGGCTTGCAAGCACAAGGTCCTGAGTTCGATCCCCAGTACCAAAAAAAAAAAAAAAAAATCAAAAGAGGCCATTATAACTACATGACAACAAATTGGATAACCTAGAAGAAATGGGTAAGTTTATAGAAACATGCAACCTACTAAGACTAATTCAAAAAATAGCCCAAATAGATCTGTACCAATAAGAACGAAGTAGTAACTAAAAACTTCCCCAAGAAGAAAAAGGCTGACACCAGCCAGATGGCTTCATGAATTCTACTAAACTATCAAAGAAGAAATGCTATGCCTTTTACAAATTCTTTCAAAAATTTGCAGTACTTCCAAACTCATCTTACAAGACCATAATATCAAAGCCAGATGAAGATATCACAAGAAAACTACAAGCCAGTATCTCTAATAAACACAGGTACAAAAATCCTTAAAAATAGCAAATCAAAGGGGTAGGGGTGGCAGCAGGGGAAAGGGAGAGATCAGAGTTACAGGCTGGAATCTGGAAAGAATCCATATATAGATTGTGTTTAAAACTATAGAAGAGATGTAGATAGACTAGGCTGGAGCTCATCAGTGGGTCGGGAAGGAAGAGTCACTGAGATCAAAGGAAAGAAGGGTGTGTTTCCAGAAGAAGCACATAGAACTATGATGTACAGTACACAGTACTCGATAGTGTGATAAATGACTGTTACTGTTTTATGTACTTATCATAACATGCTGTGCTTTTCATCCTTTAGAGAATAATCCTACTTATACAAAAGAGTTTACTGTAAAACAGTAACAACAGTGTGCTGCTATGCCAATGGTAGCCTCATGTATCTCGTGTTTAACTGCGTATCTGGATAAAATCAAAGGGCCATCACAGATGACTGACGTATACCTTCTCAGTTTGCACTTAGAAGTTGGCACTCTGTGTGGTACTTTGCGATACACATGGATGAAACTGCCTAATAACATATTCATCAGATTATATTTCCATCACATGTCACATGACTGTATTGAAATTTAAATTTAAAAAATTTGGCCTATGTGAAGTCTACTAGCTAATTAGAATTTTCTTCCCAGACCATTATTTGTTCAATATTAGTTTTGAAAATCTTTCTAAAACAAATCACATCCTTTCATGTCTTGTTAATGCTTGAGATGTTTTTTTAAATTATATGGGAAAATGTTTAAGTACTTTTCAGTTTTGCTTTGGTTGAGTTCTATTATATTTGAATATTACTATAGTTTTTTCCCTTGCATTGCTTTTCTTTGAACAATTTTAATTTTTGTGTATATGTGTGTTTAATGATAATAAAGTGATACATTAGAAAAAATGAAAAAGCAACTGACAAATTGGGAGAAAATAATTGACCATATATATCTGATCTGATATACCCAGTAATAGCTAGAACATTTAAAGAACTTAAACAGCAAAAACAAAACCTTGTTTAAAAATGGGCAAAAGACTCAAAGGGACAATTTTCCAAAGATAATACACACGTCACCAAAAGGGAAAAGGGGCTCAACATCACTAATTATTATGGAAAAATAAATCAAAACCACAGTAAGGTAGTATCTCATACCTAGTAGGATGGCCATTATCAGAGATATTAAGTATCGGTGAGGATATGCAGAAAAGGCACCATTATACATCATTGGTATGGCCATTATGGAAAATATGGTTGTTCCTTAAAAAACATTTTTAAATTAATACTATCATATTATCTAATGATCCTTTTAGGTATATATCCAATGGAAATAAAATCAATATTGCAGAGATATTTGCATTTCCATGCTCACTGCAACATCATTTACAATAGCCAAGATATAGAAATGCCCCAAGTGCCCCCGATAAAGAAATTTTAATCACAACAAAATATTATTCAGCCTTAAAAAATAGGAATCCTGTCATTTTCAACAATATGGATGAACCCAGAGGACATTGCACCACTTGAAATAAGCAAGACAAAAAGAAAAATACTGAATGATCTCACTTATATGAGGAGTCTTAAAGTCAAACAGAAGCAGAGAAAGATATAGTTGGGAAAAAAGGGAAAATGTTGGTCAAAGATAAAGTTTCAGTTATGTGAGGTAAGTTCTAGAGATCTAATGTTCAGCACAGTGATTATCAGTAACAGTTTACAGTATTATATACGTCACTAAGATATTTTAAGTGCTCTCATTTCAAAAAAAGAATTAGGGCTGGGTGTGGTGGTGGGTGCATGCCTGTAATCCCAGCTACAGAGAAGGTTGAGAAAGAAAGATCACAAGTTCCAGGTCAGCCTGGGCAATTCAGCAAGACCTGTCTCAAAATAAATTGAAAAAAAACGAGCTGAGAATACATTCAGTGGTAGAGTGCTTGCCTAGAGTAAGGCCCTGGGTTCAATCCCCAGTGCAGAAATAATTAGTCTGGCTGTTATCAGTTCAGTGTGTGTATGTATATCAAAGTGCCACATTTCACACACAATTTGATAAATAATAAATTAAATACATATAATTTGATAAAATAAGTAGGTAAGAAACTGTAATTCATTCCTTCCATTTGCCCTAGTTTGCTTCATAACTTCAAACTTGAAAATGATATTCTACATTTGTTCAATTTTTTCATCTGCTAGAATATATGTTCTATGAGGACAAATTTTGGTTAACCACTGTAACCTTAACACCTAGAATACAGCCTGAATATAGCAGGCACTAAGAATATTTGTTGAGTGAATGAAGGAAACACACGGGGAAATTTGACAGATAATACTGACCAAAGAGAGAAAATGTTATGCCTGAGCTAATGCCAAAATTCTTTCTGGACTATTAAGACAAATTTTTGAAACTTATGAGGTCATGTGTTGTTCTCTGGTTACCACAATAAGTTCTAGTGTCCTGAACATTATCTAGGTCAAAAAGATGTACCTCCAAAAAATCCACAAGGCACAGTTTAACTTGGTTTGTGATTTTGGAAAAATACTTTTCTTCTTCATATGTCAGAGTACTTAAGGGCTGAGCAAGGACTTTGTTTCTGCTGCTGTTTCCTGCACTACAAGGTTAAAGCAACGCCAGACTAGCGCAAGCGTTTAGTAACTAATGGTTCAGTGAATGACTGAATCAACAAACGAACAAAATAGGAAGGTGCACTCATGCCTGATTCTGTGTGTGATGAAATATGCCTTAAAAATAAGTTTAGGACCGGGGATTTAGCTCAGTGGTTCCGGCGCCAGCCTCGCAAGCGCAAGGTCCCGAGTTCGATCCCCGATGCAAAAAAAAAAAAAAAAATCATTCAAAAATGAGTTTAGTTTACCAAGCACTTTGACGTGCGTGCATGTTTTAGGCTCAACCTTCCAAACCTGCACACTTGGTGCCTCGCACATGTGGTCAATACTGTTTGCTTAATTAAACGAATGAAGTAGAAAGGAATGGAAACTGTATTTCCGTTATGAGAAGAAAAACGCAGAGGTAAAGTGACTGGGCCTCACGCCTCTTGGAGACCAACTCTGAATTTCTGAACTTGGAACTCTAATGCACTTTCTTGTCCTTATCAGGCTCGGGACCTCTCTCCCTCAAAACTCATCCTTTCATCCTCCTCAGTTTCTTTCCTTACTTTTCTTGAACTCAACTCAACGTCCAACTTTCAGCTTTACCTGGATTGAGACCAATACTCTCTACGTGCCGCCCCTGTGAACAGCCACGTCAATCCTCTTCTTGCAACACCAGGTACACACAGCGCCGCCATATTGGAAGAGAGCCGGGGTTGTTTGAACTCCTCTCTGGACGCGCGCAGATCAGCCAATCAGGTGCAATCTTGGGCAGGTTTTCCTTTTCCGGTCGTCGCCCCCTTTGTACACTGGGAAATGTAGTCCGGCGGCCATTTCCGGCGGACGCGTGGCCGAGGAGCGCTCTCGAAGCATGATGGTAGTTGTAGTTGGAGGGCGTCTCGAGAAGGTTCCGGGTGACGCCTTCTGGTCCGGGGGCGGGCGGTCGTAGCGCTGTTTGGCTGTGAGGAGGAGGCATTGGTAACTAGGAGGAGGCTCTAGCGAGGCCTGCCTGAAATACTGCGCAACCCAGCAGGGGAGGGGGCTGAGGGTTGGGGTGCAGTCTGGGAGTGTGCCTGATATGCTGCTGGGAATGTGACCGCACTGGGACCGGGTCAGGACCTGGCTGGACGAAGCCGGGGAACCTCATCTTCGTGGGGCCTAATTTCCAGCTAGGCCTCACTAGAAAGGCCTCCTTTCCGTGAGGCTCTCCAATTCTCAGGCCCGGAGATGGCCTCCCCGAGCTCACCGCTGGAGCCAAAGGTAAGTAGCTGTTTTCGGGAATCCCCGTTATCTTCCCCCTGTCCTGGCTAGGCTGCACCACCACTCCTCACCCGAACCCCTTGGTTCCCTGCATTCTCAAGGACCCCAACACCCTTTGGCGCCGGTGCTCTGGGGTGCGGTTTACTTACACATTGCCCACTGGCTCCTTTTTTCAAGTGTAGTTGAGTAATCACCTGGTAAAAACTAAGAATGCTCCAGGATAGCTCTCATTTTGAGTTCTTCCGGGTAAGGCATCATTTTTTATCTTTCCTTGTGTATTCTGCATCTGGCACTATTCTGGACCAAAGAAGATGCTTAAAGAAATTGATGGAGTGGAATTTAATAGGGTCACTGTGGGGGACTGCCTTATTGATTATGTCCAAAGCAGGCTGTGAGCAGTGCAGGTTATAAAGAGTTAACCCCACAGTTGGCTTGTTTTAAGAAGCAAGTCCAGCCCAGGCCTACATGCCGAGGTCAGAGTAACTTTTACCAAATTCCGTCCCCACAATTAAAACCTCTTTAACTAGAAGGACAAGGTTATTTGCTAACTACAACCCTATATTTTGTCTGTTCTGTTCCTGATTCAAGAATGCTTTGTCTTTTCCTTTACAAACCTTGCTTGCATCAGTAACGTGTCCACAGCAACTGCATGTCCCCTCCTGTAGCCCCTTTACCCCAATCTGACCATGATGTCATCAATAAATAGCAGTGCCTTGGACTGGCCAGCGCCTTTGCTGGCTGCACAGCACTGGCCCTCCTACTTCTTTCTTTAATTCTGTCTCTGAGTCTTTCTTCAGCCCTGTGTCTTATACTGGACAGGAGACTGGAAACTACTGCAGAGGTCTCTAGTAGTCACAAGTCAGTGCAAATAGAGAATTGGAGCAGGACAGTGAGCTAAGGAAGCTTGGAGAGGCCTTGGGGCAGTTTACTAAAATTAGAATATTAGTGTATAATTATTAAACCAGAAAACCCTTATATTTATGTCCTTCACTTACAAGGACAAGGATCCAGCCCAGTTATCCTCTAGTCTGAGGTGCCTGTCAGTGAAGTCAGTTCCCAGAATGGGGCACTTTTAGCACTCTTAGTTATGTACCATCCAGTGTACTCTGCCATGATAATTGATTGCTTCTGCCCCTTTCAGTGATAGAATTGTCCTTGAGACAGCAGAAACTTGACTACAGAAATCATACTATTTCAGGGGTTGCTGACATTTGAGGATGTGGCTGTGTTTTTTACCCAGGAGGAGTGGGATTATCTGGACCCAGCTCAGAGAAGTCTCTATAAAGATGTCATGATGGAGAATTATGGCAACTTGGTCTCATTGGGTAAGAATCTGTTTTTTTCTAAAATATCTAAGAAAGTATTAGAAATCAGATTCAGGATACTTGGTCCAGTACCATTACCAGAACTGCTTTGTTCCATAGTTCTGATCCTAACCCTTCAGTTGTATGATTCTTTATCCCTCACTTTTTTTGTAGTGACCAAAATGTAAATCTTTCTGGCCTTCTGTCTTCGTAGTCTTGTTCCCATATTGCTCTGTACTTTCTTGGTTCATCCTCCCACTGCTTTCCTCCCACCCTTTTTGCTCTGCCTTCTGGAGCCCCTGTTCCTCTTCACACAGTGTTCCTTACCCTCCTGGATTTAACCGAAACTTGGCACTTTCCCAGCCTCACCACTTCTTTGGCATTCCTTCAAGTGGGGCTTGCTTATTCTGCATCCTCCTCCTTCCTCATCCTTTGTCTCAAGGCTGGAAGGGAGAAGTTATTCTCCCAACTTTTCAGTGCTGTTCCCAAAGCATTAGTTTTTAACTTTCAGAGAAAGTCTCTCCTTTGAGCCTTCAGCATTCAATTCATTTTTACCCTTCTCATCTTTTTCTTGGGTCCTTCACACATAAGCTTATCACACATTTCACAGATTTCTCAATCCAGTCAGTACTTGAACCTCAGTGGATGTTGACCATGTTGACTTCAGGAATCCCGTTTTCCATTTTTATTCAGTTACTTGTATCATTGATCTTATCCAACACCTTTCCACCATAACCTATTCTTTGTTCATGTATTTCTTGCACCTTGATGTGTTTGTTTTTTCTCCAGAGTGCCAATCCTCTCCTGACTTCACCTCTTCATATAATTACCAGCCAGGTGTCCTACCTTGACATTATGCTATAACCATTCTGCAAACTTCAGATCTTGTATTAGTTATATCTGCCTTTTTGTACTCTCCTACCTGAGTTGCTAAACACAGCAAGAAAAAAATCCTCTTAACCAAAAAGATTGATGCCCTTTATGTGCATGGTTTTTTAAAATTCTAATCTCCTTTGGGTTTCTATCTCAGCAATTTTTTGGGTCAGTGATATGCTTATTCTCCTCTTCCTTTTAGTGACTATTTCACAAATTAGAGTTTTCTGTTACTCTGTGGACCTCACCTTCTGTTCATAAAGATGAGAGGCCACTAAGCATGAACTCTCAAATTTCTACTCCTCATCTTCACACTTAAAGCTGCTCCCATATTTTCTCTTCTCTAGAAACTCAAATCATACTTTTTCCCTAAATAGCCTCAATTTCTTTTCCTTCTCTCGTAATACTTTTATTCTGATGATATGTTCATGGCTTTTCCAATTGGAGAAAAAGAAAAGAAACTCTCCTTAGAGCCAGCCTCCCTCTTGCTGTTCTCTATAACTTGCTATTTGTTCTTTTTGTAGCCAGAAAATTTTTTAGAGTGATTAATATGTGTTCTGTGGTACTATACCTTCCATTACTTCTGTGCCCTTCGTTTTGTGTCCAACACTCCCTTTAAGTTGTTCAACAGTGATTTATAATAACCTCATTGTTAAATACATAAGACTCTTTTTGGACCTTATTTTAGTCCCTCATTTTATTTGAAACTCTATTGCTTTCCTTCCATTGGCTTGCGTTCTCAGACTTTCTCTCAGTCTATACCCTTTGCTTGGGGGGAACCTTATCTACACTAATCAGTTACCTCTGTATACCAAATATCTCACAGCGGCTGGGGATTTAGTTCAGTGGTTCCACTGCCAGACTTGCAAGCGCAAGGTCCCGAGTTCAATCCCTGGTACCCACCCCCCCCCAAAAAAAATCTCTCTCCTTCTACAAAGGGTAATGTGGACTCTAACTGTTGAGATTCAAATCCTTGTTTCAGTGTTTACTAACTGTATGATTATGGGTGAGTATCTCTCTGTTTCTCAGTTTCTTTTTTTTTAATAAAATGAAAATAATAATAGCACATACCCTTAAGGTTATTATAAGTATTTGAATTAATTTGTATGTAAGGCACTTAGGGCACTGACTAGCATGTAATAAGTATAGTATTAAGTATTGATTGTTGTCTCCCTCTCTGTTGAGCTACAAATTCTAAAGATGAGTAAATTTGTAGTCATCTTTTGAAGATGACATAAGTAACTCATACCTGAAAAGTCTTAAAAAAATTGTTAAGATCTCAAGGGCCTTCTCTTGAAAGTTAAATACTCCTTTACTGTACTACGTTGTGTATGCAGTACTTTCATGGTTCATCACACTGTTCGGTAGTCATTTTGTATGTGTTCTGTCTTAAACCGCACTGATCAACATGAGGACCACAACTATCTCTTTTTCATTTCATTTCTCCTGCACTTATCACAGAGTTGGGCCTGTATCATGTGTTTCTTAAATACTTATGTGACTGAATGAGTAAATTTAAGACTCAGTCCTAAACTAGCTCCTGGTCACTAGTCACCCCTTTAATTTATTCCATCTACTATCACCAAAGTGCTTAGAACTTCTAACAGTTCATAATAGCTTAAAGGACAAAAACCTTAATTTCTTTTTTTTTTGGTACTGAGGATGGAACTCAGGACCTTGCTCTTTCGAGGCAGGCAGCAGCACCATTGAGCTAAATCCCTGGCCTAAAAACCTTAATTTCTTACAGGAGAACTTCCCAAACATAGCTTCTCCCTTGCTTTCTGTCTTGAGTACTACTTCTCTATCAATTGCTAGTTTTGTTTTTCCTAGTTTCCCATAGAGTCTCTTGAGTCATTGCTAGCTTATCCATACATATGGTATCCTGATTGACAGAATCAAGCAAGCACCTAGCTCTGCCTACCCCTGGTAGTGCAATATATGACCACTGTATGGACGAAGGCTTGGCAGTGAGCCCATCTTGTACTTTTAGGTCTTGTACTTTTAGGCTCGCTCTCTCTTTTTTTTCCAACTTAAGCTTTCTATTATTTATTATTTTTTCCTGCCATAGTCTTTTCATCCTCTTCACTAGACCCCTCTCCGTCACCTTGATGACGGACCTTAAACAGGTCACTGTTGTAAAGGTACAAGTTCCCAATGATAAATGTAAATGTATTGTATACCTAAAATATACCAATAAAAGAGTTTAAGGAAAAGAAACCAACCAAAAAACAAAAAAACAGGTCACTGTTACTCTACTGATCCAGTGCAGTATTCTCCTATTTCACTTGCTACTTTTCATAAGAAAATTCTCACCAACTTTATAATTCT